GGAAATGGGGGCATGTTAAGTGGGAAAACCATGATGGAGGGGTGAGACAATGTGAGAGATAAACAATGCCTAGCTAGTTTTGAAAACCAGAGGGAACCATATTACTCCTACAACCTACTGACAAATTATTATGCATAATGGATCAAGAAATATATGTCTAGGTAAGGTTTATCTGAGAACAATTGGTCTTTGCCCAAGATTTATCTACATGACACACAGTAATTAAAAGCAGCAGACAGGTGGAACTAACCTTCTTGGATGTTTAACAGACATACTTTGAGGCCTATAATGTTTTGGTCAGAGGGACATAAAGGACAGTTTTTGCTCCTAGCCCTCCTAGGTTGACTAGTTCCAGGGGATTATGAGAATCTCTCAAAATGTCCTATAATGGTGGTGGGTCACCTGTCCTCTTGATCAAGGAGGTTGAGGCGACCCCACCAGATGGACTTGAACCCATGCCCAGTCCACAAAGAGGAGGGTCAACACAGAGTTATCATTTCCTCCATGCTTCCAAGCAAAGCCAGCCATGGTCGAGCAGGATCTTTACTTATCTTCACATAGGCAGAACTGGTAAAAGAAAGGAGCCAGGGGCTCCTCCCAAGCCCCTGTGACCCCTGAGGAACAGATCCTCAAATGACCTGAAGAGTAAAAATAAATTGGTTTATGTGGGCCAACTGTATGGCTTTAAACACCCAAAAGAAAGTATAACCAAAGATTAAAGGGGCCAATATAATTTCATAAGAGTCCATATGTGTAGCTAAAGGCTACATAACAAGCAACAATGCCAGATAGGAGATATCTTCTTTTGAGTTGTTGGCCAGGGTGGCCAAAGGGACTCCCAGATAGTAACCCTGCATAGAACTGGAAAAATGTACATCAGACCCCAATCTTATCTAAAGGAATATCGACAACTGATTGCTGCTAGATGAGGAACAGCTGACCCTCCTATAACAAAGACCTCTAGAAATGCTGACTAGGTCCAACAGAAGGGCAAGTAGTGGGGAATGGCTGGGACAGCAGGGATATCAGAGTATAAGGGCTTTAGTGGGGGGAGGGACGCTATGGGCAGGTGACATCTGGGAAGTGAGTGTATAGTTGAATAAGATGGTTTGGGATGTTCTGTGTGATACAAACACACACACACACAAATCAACAAATCAAAAAAAATGTATTATATTTGAGGAGGAAGCAAGGAAATTTACATCATGCTAATAAGTAGAGGTGATAACCATTACCATTCATATCTACCTGATGACTTTATAGACATACATAGGCACCAAGAATCCAAGTGCAACCGATTATAACTAGTAATAATCAGATACATTCAGATTAGAGATGCATGCGCCAACATCTCAGTGTTAGTAGCAAAAACAATGAGTCTTTCTGCAAGGAACAATATATTGTAAAATGAAATGGAGATTTTTTTTTAAAGGTTAAAATCTCATTTAGTTTTATGTCTTACAGGGCTTATACTGAGTTTAAAATTGTATAACTGTATTAATTCAACTGTGAACCTAGAAACTTGCACCCACTTGTGAAAGAGATCTACTCTTGATCTAGAGCATGTTACTGAATATGTTAAAGCTATAGTGAAATGCTCCTTCTAATCAATCATGTAGTTATTAAAAATGATAAAAAAAATAATTCTTCAAAGCACAAAAATTTGCTCCTTATAATTAGTAGATGTGAAAAACATTACCATTGAAATCTGCCTGACCACTTTATATCCATGCTCAGATGCCAAGGAGCTCAGAAAGTAACCAACTGTAACTAGTAATAATCAGATATATAGAGATTAGAAATACATGTGCATCTTAGTGTCAATTGTATTAAAAATGAATTTTTCTGTATGAAACT